ACAGCGGCGCGCGGGCCCACCCGCAGGTGTGGCCGGGCCTACGGCTGCTGGACACACGTCCAGTGTCCTCCGAAGCCCGCCATGCTGGGAGACCTCTGGACGACGGAACTCTTCTTCGCTGCAGGTGGAGGTAGAAATTTGCCCTGCGACGTAGAGGAGCAGAGGAAGAAGATGCTGGCAGAAATGGGACGGGGGGGGCAAAAAGGTCTCCCCCGGCTCTGTCCTCGGCTGACCCAGAGTTCAGTCTCTTCCTGTCCCCACCCCTCAAAACCACTAGGCCCCTGAAGAGTTCCTTAGAGGAAGGGAGAAGCAGGTGGGAGGTGCTTTGAAGCCTGAGACCCTGCTTTTCTGCCTTACCCACCCTCCTACCCAAAGCCACAACAAAGACCCGCTAATCCTGCCACCCAGCCACAAAGCCTCTCCTTCCTCCTCTGTGCCTGCTGTTCCCTGTGGTCTGATAGGGCCATTGTGAGGATGACAGCCCCCAGGGCCAGGAGCTCAGATGGCAGCCCAGAGTAGGACTTTTCCTGTGGGGCTGGGACCTGTCCCAGGCCCCAGCCAACCGAGGTGTCTGCAAGGTACCCCAGAGGACGTGCTGTGCCTGGAGTGTGCCAGGGCAGGCAGGGAGGGGCTCTATCCTCTGCTGAGTTCCAGGAAAGGCCCTGGCAGTCGGCTCAGGCTTGGGCTCCAGGGCCTTGGAGGGTGGGGCTGGGGGAGGGACCCTAGCTTGCTGAAGTGCCTCACCTGGACCTCAAACAACCTCCCAACCTCCCCCCCACCCCATCTGATGGCATCTCTGGCACCCTCTGTAGCCAAAGGTAAGGAGATGCATACCAACGCAGGCCTGGGCCAGGGACCACCTTTCCACACATACAGGCACACTTCCCACACATCTGCTTACCCAGCCAACAGGGAATCTCCCAGACAGGAGGCACCCTCAGTGTCGTTGACTTCAAACTTTTACCTTATGTATGAAATCTGTCCATGATATCCTGGGTCAGTGATTATTCTGAAGCTGTTTGCACACCTATAGTGACAGGGACACTCTCACAATGCATCCCACTGCCCTTCTAGACTTATCTCCAAGCCCAGTCATATACAGGACACCTCACATGGCCTAGAGGTGACTGAATTTATGTTCCTCACACCAGCTCCTCCCCATTGCCCACCGTGGCCCTCCCATTCCCCCAAATCATCATGAGGTTGGATTAATTTTTAACTGTTTTCTCTCCTTCACTATCCTATATCTGATCTATTCCCAAATTACTCCCTTTGTTGCTTTTATTACAAGATGCATTGTTATTTTTGTCACCCCTTCCTCTCCAGCCCCATAGGTTCCACCTTTGGCCCAAATTCCCACAGCAGCTGCCACACTGTCCTTTTTAGCCCAGGTTTTTCCTTCTTCCTACACACCCTGCTGGAATAATCTTTCTCAAACACTGTTTATTGTGTGTTATCAACTTTGGACTCCTCATTAAGCATACTGGGTACACCAGCTTCTAACCTATGTGTTCCATATGAAGGTGCCAGGATTCATTCGTGGTGTGCCCAGATCACAGGGTCCAGCACAGTGCTGGTGCAGAGCAGAGCAGCAAAGTGACCCATCTGTTTGGCTGTTCTTTTCTCATCGTAACAGTTCTCTCCCCAGACTTGGTCTCCTCAGTCCTGTCAAGCCTGTTGGCTTCTTGATGCTCACTCAGGCCCTTTTGTTTTGAGGAACCACTATTTTTCATTTCCCAAAATGTTTAGAGAGGGGTGGGGAAGGGAGACGCCGGCATACAAGTTTGACCCAAATACCAACTGCAAAGACCTTGAGTATAGAGTGGAATGAATGCAGCTGCGTGCTGGGAGCCTCTGTTCCAGTAAGAAACAAAACCACTGAGGAGGGTGGAAGGCAGAAAGGGCAGCTATGCAACCAGTGGCTTTGGGTTTACAGAGGGATCTTGCCATTGGAGATTCCAGCTTGCCTAGTTCTGGGTCCCTGGCCTGATGCCCTTAGATTGTTCTCTTTCTTGGCAGCACATCACACTCACACACACACAGACATGTACCCATACACACATCCCAATCACCTCATAACCCAGCTCAAAATGTACCTCCTACCGGAAGGCTCTGATAATCTCCACCCCACTTTGATAATTTTGTTATCAGCGTCTCTCTGAGCCTTATGAGCTATCTGTCTTCAGTCTTTTCTATATTTTATTGTTTAGTTATTACCTGTAGTGATTACCTGTAGTACTTTCAAGCCCATAGATAATAAACTCCTTTATGGCAGAGGCAGTGTCTTTATCTACTTAATATCATTTATTTATTTTGAGAAGGAAGCAGAGGTGAGACAGGGCAATCAGACTTTGGAGGCCACATAAACTTGGTGCCACATAAACTGGATCCTGGTTCCAACACTTAGCTGTTTGGCTTTGGGCAAGTCTCTTAACCTCTCTGACCTAGTTTCTTCATCTGTAAAAGGCACTAGTGACACTTGCTGAATGAGGGGCAAAGATGACAGAGAATGCCAAGTGCCAAGAAAGTGCCTGTTGCAGAAGACAATATAACGCGTCTTCCTTCCCTGCAGGGTTGGAGCCTGCCCTGAATTCCAGGACAAGGTTCTTTAATTAACGCCCCCCCCCCCAATACACTGAGGCACTTTTAAGCGGGAAGAGGTACATTATTAATAATTACACCGGTACGTACGGCCATCCTACCCCAACTCAACAACCCGTGAGGGCAGAGTTCGGTTCTTGCAGCGGGGTCACCGGGTGCCTAGGCCTGGCGCCGAGCCTAGTTCAAGCTCAATGAAAGTTTGTTGAATGAACCAGCGGACAGAACGTGGCCTTCCATCAGCCAGTGAATAAGGTTGAAAAGCCCGCCCCCGCGCCTCCAACCCCCGCCGCGTCCCGGCGCCTCCGGCAGCCTCCTTTCTCTAAGGTCTCCTCGCGACTCCTTCGGCCCCTTCCCCCGCCCCGGTTGCCTTGACAACAGTGACGTGTGCGTGAGGGGCGTCACCTCTCCATCCTCTGCTGGAGGCCGGGGCCCCTTCTCCTCCGCACCCGGGGACGGGACGAGGTTGGGGGCCTCGACCTTCCCGCCCCCCGCCCCGGGCCTGGCGCTAACTACGCCCATCGGGCCGCCCGCTCGCGCGCGTGGCTCGCGGGAGTGCGGATCCCCCCACCGCCCCCAGCGCTGAACTGGAGGGGGTCCTGAGGCTGCGGGCTTCAGGCCCGGGGGGCCCTCTCCAGCCCTTCGCCCCCCACCAGCCACTGGAT